GCCAAATAATACTAAAAATAGTAAATATATTACAATGAAGAAGAATTACAATGCCAAGTTAATACCGGTTTCCTAAAAATAATAAATATATTACAATGAAGAAGAATTACAATGCCAAGTTAATACCGGTTTCCTAAAAATAATAAATATATTACAATGAAGAAGAATTACAATGCCAAGTTAATACCGGTTTCCTAAAAATAGTAAATATATTACAATGAAGAAGAATTACAATGCCAAGTTAATACCGGTTTCCTAAAAATAGTAAATATATTACAATGAAGAAGAATTACAATGCCAAGTTAATACCGGTTTCCTAGAAATAGTAAATATATCAAAATGAAGAACAATTACAATGCCAAATAATACTAAAAATAGTAAATATATAAAATTATTTCCATACCGGTATGCACATCACAGATAACTCACTGTATAGCTTTGTGCTTAACTATAAACAAACGAAGAAAGTTAAAAAATAAAAAGAATATGAACGAAAATGTTTGTCAGTTGTATATTAATAATGGTTGTATAAAACATACAAACTGCACGTTATGTTTAGATTTACAGATTTATATAAATACAAGTTAAAAATTGGGCTGCACACTCTAAGATTTATGTCGATCAACATTTATTATTTGAAGAAGTTGTTAAACTTTAAAATGTATAGAATTAAAATAATTATTTGTTCTTTATGGACACAATCAGTCATACAGAATGGATTTGGGGGTAGTGGTGAGACTTATCGACCTAAAATAAAGCCAATTATTTCAATACAGAATATATAACAGACAGCTAAAAATACATATTCTTCGTATGAGATACATATTAATATAGAGATTATTATAATTTTTAAGTAATCAAATTTGTTTACAGATTAAAAAAAATATCTTTATTCCAGTAGAATGCAGGGTTGAAAATATTTTACTCAGTTATTCGAAAAAAAAAAATACATGATCGACAAACATAATATATTCAGTACTTTACCATTAATATAATTAAATTAAAGTTGCTAGTGAGGGAATCTTTGTTGTGCTCTGAAAATATAAAGGTTTATTTGACGTAATGAAATTAATTATTATTATTATTATCTTCTGAGCTAGATTTGGAATTAAATGAATTATTGGTTTTACGTTCAACTCTCCAGATAGATGTAATGAAATGTACTCGCTAATTAATGTTATTAACCTTGACGACCTAAATTATCTTGGGTTAATCAATTGTAATTTAATTATTATCGTTGTCAGTAGTACATGTAAAAAAAGGTTTCGCTGAACTGCATATTCTATCGTAATTTAATTTTATTATTAGAAAAACAAATCAGTAAAGAAAAATCAACTCGCCAAAATGTCAGTGGAGACATGTTGCAAAATAGTAATCATACTACAATAGAACGTGAATACCAGAAACAGAAACACATGAAAATAGTAATCTTACTACAATAGAACGTGAATACCACTAACAGAAACACATGAATGAATTATAGCTATCAACATGACTGCAGATGCATGTTGCAAAACATTCATATTACGGATGGGCATAAATACCACAGAATCATCAACATGACTGCAGATGCATGTTGAAAAACATTCATATTGCGGATGGGCATAAATATCACAGAAACATCAACATGACTGCAGATGCATGTTGAAAAACATTCATATTACGGATGGGCATAAATATCACAGAACCATCAACATGACTGCAGATGCATGTTGAAAAACATTCATATTACGGATGGGCATAAATATCACAGAACCATCAACATGACTGCAGATGCATGTTGAAAAACATTCATATTACAGATGGGC